TAAGTGAGCGGCACGAGCCGAGCCAGCTCGAGCTCAAACGAGCCAAGATCATGCTAGTGTTTTTCTTGACAGCTCGCTAAAATGCTTAGCCAGTGCAAGGTTTCATAAACTGTAAATACCTAATATAGTAATAATTAGAGACTTGGAGCTCATTCTGACCTACCAACAACTTCGAAATGCACAATTTAGCTGATAGTAGTGAGAAAGATGAAAATTTAGCTTAGTTTAGTTTAGTTTGTCAATATTATGTATATAATCAATCCAGGCTCGAGCCGAGCTCACTTACTCACGAGCTGGCTCGAGCTCACCGTCCAGCTCGGCTCGAGCTAGCTCGTGCCGCTCAATAGTACTAGATACAGGCAATATGTGATAGCTAAGGTATCACAGTCATATAAATGAGTACTATATGAGCTATGCAGAGGACTAGCGAGTATTGCTAGTTTAGTGTCTCTTTGGCCTAGCAGACGGCAATGAATCCAACAGGCCAGGCCAGGCCAGGCCAACCGGAGGCCTGCACTGACCTGGACCGTAAAATTCTGGGCCTGGCCTGGCCTGAACAATCAGGCCAGGCCGTGAGGACCGCCTGGACCAGGCGGCCTGAAACAATCAGGCCAATCAGGCCGGCACAGGGCAACCAGGCCGGCCCAGACCAACCAGGCCGGTCCGGACCAACCAGACCGGTCCAGACCAACCAGGCCGGTCCAGGCCAATCAGGCCGGTCCAGACCATTCAGGCTGGCCCAGGCCATTCAGGCTGGCCCAGGCGATTCAGGCTGGCCCAAACTATTCAGGCTGGCCCAGGCGATTCAGGCTGGCCCAGGCCAACCAGGCCGGTCCAGGCCAACCAGGCCAGTCCAGGCCGACCAGGCCATTTACGTAAATTCAAGCGATCTTAGAATTTAACCCAGGTGAATTAGATTTTAATAGTCCTGGATATTTCCACTATCAGTAATTGACAGTTGCGCATCAGGTATCATCATCGAAGAATTGAGTCCAGTCTGTTGTATTATCTGGAAGGTCCATCATTTCTAAAATATTTCTTAGTATATATACTTGAATACAAAGTGTGATACTGTACATACTTGACAAAAGTCGTAGACCGCTGCTGTTTAAAATTCTAGACATATGGGAGATTCTACTCATTTAAATACTCAAACAATCTGGTAAATGCTGGCCTCAATTCACCTGGATAGCTGTGGAGTGATTCGTTTAATTGGCCTGATTCATGTGGATCAGGCCGGTCCAGGCGGTTTCAGTCCAATGCAGATCACGGCCTGTCAGATTCATTGGCAGACGGTAACTCTCTACATTTACCACCTTCATTCCAGCAAGAGTAGAAGATTTTAGCATGTCCAAGTGTAATAGGTGAGGTAGCCGTATGACACGCTGGGGCAGTAAATATAATGAATGAATTAGCGACGCTATATAATAGTGAAATGATGATAAGTGATGTATTGAACCTTTGGCTGACATCCCTGGCTGGAAAGATTATACGGTGAGCCGAAAATAGTATGTAAGCTTGCAGCATGGAATAATTCATGATGGCCAGAGTTTGAATTCCTATACTATATCATACCACTGCCGACTAGTGACAAGTTACCAAACCTGTCCCTACACTTAAACCTTAAAAAATGTGGAGTATATGGAATACATAATCACTCTATATCTGCCTCCAAGCCTGAAAATACTAGAAAGTATGAGATATTACAATTTACCATCACGCACGGCGGGCGGGCGTTGCTAAGGGATACGACCGGTTCAGGGTAACAGTAGTTTCGCAAGCGCTGAACGGCAGAGGCTTAATAAACTTGACAGGAGAGGCGCGACAGGAAAGGCTCGTGAGTGGCGATTCCGCGGTCCCAGATCAGCGGTGCCGGTTCAGCGGCGATGGCAGGCTTTGGTGAAAAAGGCAGGGAGGAAGATCAGATACTGAATAGGATCTAAAGATTGGCAAGAATAACAAGAACATATGGACTGCGAGGAACCATATGGGTGTAGTCTCATAATATGGGTGTATTAAGAAGACAAGACAACAGACAAGGAGAGAAAGAACTATTTACATGAGGGCCAGATGGGGCTCTTATATATACATGATAGGCCCATTAGCCAAGAAACATAATACAAAGGTAGGAGCAGCGACGAGGGCAGTAGCAGGAGCAGGAGAGAGGCAGAAATGAGGGCCGTGGCGAGGGAAGCGCAGTGGCGAAGGCAGAATTTTCATATAGCAACCATGAAAAGGCATAGGCTTACTTTTGGTAGGTAGGCGGGCTGTACTGGCAGCTGGCTGGCTACGGCTGGCTAGCTGCCTATAGCTAGCTAGTTCTATGGGCTTTCCGGCTGTTGGCAGGAGGGCTGTCACTGACGGCCGGCTAGCTACCTATAGCTAGCCGGTTCTATGAGCGTGCCGGCTGTCAGCAGTAGGCGGTCGTGGCTTGCCGGCGGTCGCGGCGTGAGTGTGCGGAGGCTGTAGGGCACGAGCTGTGACAATAAGCTTTGTATGAATATTATTTCGTAAGTATTATTACAGATAGAATAATAAAGATCATATTAATCACTTGACATACAGCATCACTGTTAGTAACTATTATACATAACCTATACAGAGATGATAATATACTCAATACTGAGATTCACTTATTATTATTAACTACTAGTACTTATAATCTTGTATTCTATTTGTACTTATTTTATATATTCATTTCAACTCTATTATTGTCACGCGCGACGGAGGGCTGGTGCTGCTAAGGGATACGGCCGGTTCAGGGTAACAGTAGTTTGCAAGCGCTGAACGACATGGGCTTGACAAACTTGACAGGAGAGGCTTGACAGGAGAGGCTCGCAGGTAGCGGTTCAGCAGTTCTAGTTCAGCGCTTCTGGTTTAGCGGCGATGGCAGGCTATGGTGAAATGGCAGAGAAGATCAAGTACTGAATTAGATCTAGGGATTGACAAGAATAACAAGATCATATGGACTGCGAAGAACCATATGGGTCTATTAAGAAGACAAGACAACAGACAAGGAGAGAAAGAACTATTTTCATGAGGGCAAGATAGGGCCTTATATACATGATAGGCTCATTTAGCTAAGAAACATAATACAAAGGTAGAAACAGCGACGAGGGTGGTAGCAAGAGCAGGGTGGTGAAGGCAGAGTTTTCATGACAGGTGGGCTATACTAGCAGGCGGGCTGTACTGGCAGGCGGGCTATACCGGCAGGCGGGCTATACTAGCAGGCGGGCTGTACTCGTACTGGCAGGCTGGCTATACTGGCAGGCTGGCTATACTGGCAGGCGGGCTATACTAGCACCTTGCTAGCTACCTATGGCTAGCTGGGCAGGAGGCGGTCGTGGGTCGTGGCTTAGTATGCGGAGACTGTACGGCGTGAGGTGTGACAATTATAGTAAATAGCAGCAAGTAGAAGTTATATAATATTAGAAATAAGTTACATTTATTTCTTTTTAAGAGATATCTTATTAACTAAAGATATTTAAAAGTAGATAACTTTCTATCAATCTAGATAACTAAACTCATATCTTTGAGTTATTAGTACTTAATCTATCTAAAAAATCTTTAAATCTTCTTTCAAATTTTAAAATCATATAGAGCAATCTTTTTTCTCCTTTCTACTAGATTCTGAATTTTTTAGAAATTGCTTCTAAACTTATATACTAGTTTAAAAAGAAGTTAAGTAATATAGTATAAAAGAAAATACTTGCTACTAATACTAAAATTTCTACATTTTATTGTTACGGCTAAGGTAAGACTTACGGAGTCGGTTCCGGAAGCACCGCCAGAGACGTATGCTAAAGATGTGACTGATCACCACTAGGCAACGTCCACTGGTAAACGGCGGTTGCCTACAGAAGTGTGTGTTGAAGTTGCACATGGCCTACCAATATGCGCACATGCATCACAGACCTTCCTGATGCATGTTTCTATTACGTTCACGCCTTTCCGGCTACCGCAGACCTTCCTAACGCATGCCTCCATTACGTTCACGCCTTTCCGGCTACCGCAGACCTTCTTAATGCATGCCTCCATTACGGTCACGCCTTTCCGGCTACCGCAGACCTTCCTAATGCATGCCTCCATTACGTCCATGCCTTTCCAGCTACCGCGGACCTTCCTAATGCATGCTTCTATTACGTTCACGCCTTTCCTGCTATTACGGACCTTCCTGATGCGTGTTTTCTGTTACGTTTCTCTGCCTGTATGCCTTAGCATGTTTATCGTCATGTTACTGTCAATTGACTAGTCATGTATGACGGCCGGAAGTCTATATAAACGAGCTGAACAGTTAGCTAGAAGGAAATCAAGACACAAGCAGTGTTCTAAGTTGAACTCTCACTTAACGCTCTCGCGTAACCTTTTGTCGTCCGCTTCGCTGTCCTCGTGAACCCGGAGTCGCCTCAAGAGTCACTCTCACGAGTCCAGCGACGCCTACGCTAACATTTATAAATTGTTATCTACTGCAATAGTAAGCTGTAATACCTTAACTTATATAAAAATTAAGTATAGAGTTCTCTTTTATTTCTTTATTTATACAATTTATACTTTTTAGTTTATACAATAGTAACAACAGTAGTTTTACTTTAACCTAAGAAGCTTTACTATAAATCTAGTACAATTAAGCAAAGCCTATGCTAGTTAAAGAGTTGCAAAATATAGTATTCAAATTTACTATTTGAAAGTAATTTTTAGTATTACGATATAACCAGATGAAGCGCGAAGTTATTAGCTAACAAATCTGAGAATCTGAAGAATCTGAATATTTACAAAACAATGGGAATTGAATCTGGGACGGAATTTAGTCTAGTTATCTGGGCCGACGGAAAGTCATCTAGTAATCTTTTACTATAAATTCACCACCAGGCTTATAGAAATATATAATTACAATAGATAAGATGTATCAGAATTTCAGGTCTGTCGCCAGTTAAAATCCCAATTCTTCACCAATTAAATTTAGGAGCAGAGTGTGAGACCAAAAAGCGAACAAAAAGAACTGCTCAAATCGGGAATCGAACCCGAGCCATACGCTTGGGAAGCGTATATTCTACCACTAAACTATTTGAGCTAATCCACATTATTATCTTCTGATTCTTATAAATTGGTAACCTTGATAAGCCACTGCTTACAAGGGGAGAAAGCTAATATGTATTCGTCATAAGTGTGTTAATTCAGGCAATTGTAGCATATGCTGGTGAGAACGTCACGAAAGCATCCTAATTATCTTTCGGCACCACTTAACACACAAGACAAACACACTGAATGGTGTCGTGCCTGAAGAATTGTTCTCAGATCTTTCATTGCCTGTCTGCATAATTTACTAATGATAATCCAATCTTTAAGGTCCCTACTCAATATTTCTTTTCTTGGTCCTGTGATACCAAGAATGAATTTATTCAAAACATTTCTTGATACCCTGGGAATTTTTTTCAGCGCTTCAATAATGACATTTGCGGCAGGTCGTGAATTTAAGGATACAGATGGATGAACCTGGTACAGTGGAATTTGATAAATGTGACCCGTCTTTTTTTTTTTTAAGAATAATGTGACCCGTCTTTTTTTTTTAAAAAATAATGTGACCCGTCGCTTGTCATACATGCCCTATGTTCGTGAAGCCGTTGGCACTTTTCCTCACTACTTTGTCCCTGGTCACTATTAGTATAATCAATTAGGTTGACTGTGGTGGATTATGATGTCGTTCGTCTCTCAATATCCCAGCGTGCAGAACGCAAACTGATGCAAGTAGGCATTTGTCAGGGCTACTTTCTGACAGGCACAAGGATTTATCATATGAACAGTCTCCAGCAGATCCGGGCTCCCCGCCTTGTTGGTTCCGGAACCAACCACCCTGTTCCCTGTTCGCAGCTAGGATATCAATTAGTTTTCGGAACAACTCGATGCAATTCCGCGGAATGTCTCTGTCCAGTCAGTTTCTGACTGACGGAAGCTGGAATAAGTGGCGCTAACTACAGTCTACCCTTGCTATACCAGATGGCCTCTGCCTGCGCCACATCCGTTCCCCATACAAATCGCCCTTGCTATACCGGACGCCCTAACAATTCTGGACCAAACAGAAACCTCCAGACAAGTACCCCCCTGTCTCCATACAAATAATATTTGCTATACCGATTACATTAATACTAATACATCTTAGACTACCCCACTTCACACTTGGCTGCCATCACTGCTACTACCACTGCTACCACTGCTACCACTGCTGCCACTGCTACCGCTGCTACCATCACTTTCTCCAATGTTCAAGTAATGGAAACTGGGCACCTCGTTGCTTCTTTTTCCATGTACTATCATTTCTGAGATTAATTGTTAAGCACTTATCACTTTGTTTCAAAATATCTGACAAAGTAGATACAGCTACTGATTAGCCCTAAATAATAGGTTAGATATTTAGGATATCACAGTTAAGTTAAAGTACAGTAATCTTACCAATATATCTCGGAAATGTTTACCAAATTCACTTAACTTTTCTTTAGCATACTTTGGTTCTATTCAACATTTACATATTTGATGCTTCTGAAGCACACTTAAGGCCGGATGATTTCCAGATATTGTGAGCAACACATATTGATGTATTTGGTTGGATGTGTAAACAAGTTAATATTTACTTCGTTCATTTCCGATTTCAGTAATTATTTGGATTGGCGAAAATTGCCAGATTTTAGCGATCCGGTATAGCAAGGGTAGACTATATTTAAAGCGACTGCTAATCTACTAGTAACCCATGTCCACATTCCATGCCTACATCGATCCACTTATTCCAACTTCCTGCGTGAGTGCGTCATGGTACATGTACTCTGGCATCTCTTTTGTTTTTTCTTTTTTAATATCACGTACTGTAACCCCGCTTATTTTACATCTCTTGATTTTCAGCGAACCTCGGCACTTCAGCAGAACAAAAATATTGCTGAGTGTGATTGTTAGCAACATCATCATGCTGTTGACAAGCTCAATGTTTAGTTAATTCTGCTTTAGCCACCTCAGTGCCAGTATGCCTATGAACAGAAATACAGTAATTCCTTTTGGGTTACATGAGGTCAGTGTGCCAGCTGCTGTTTGAAACGGTGTCCGCAAGCCTGGTTCTGGAGAAGGTAAAATAGTGGTTGGAAAGCTAGAAGTTTTTCAGCGCTTTTGCAATTCTTGCACTGTATGCTAAAACTCTCGAACTTGATGTGCTGCTACTGGATGTGAGGAGGTTGTGCAGTGAGATAGCTCTTGAGATTGTATATTGTCTAAATGAAGCCATGCCAACCTTGAATGTCAGGCAGAAGGTTGGGTGTCACGAACAGTGCAGGTAAATGAGGCCTTGATGGCATAAGCATCATAGTCCATTGTCGATGAGGGTCCCATGCTGACTTGTCAAGATGCCAACGAGGATGAATCAGTAATGTTGGTGTTGACTCTTCAAGGGGATAAAATGGACATAGAAAATGGTGACAAGGAATAATGCATTGGAGATTAATTGAGCGTATGGAACATGCAACATTTCCCATATCTCTGGCAGAATCAAAGGCTTTGTAAGTAGGAGTTGATGTGCGACCTCTCCGGGCAGGCCAGTCTAGTTGATGCAGCTTGCCATTCATGTTTTAGCATGTCGGTGCACGCCAGGCATGGGTTGTACGTACTAGTAGATTAGCGGTCGCTTATATAATTTAGCGATACTTATTCCAGCTTCCGTCCAGACTGGACAGAGCAATTCCGTATGGGTACGTACTTAACTGTCTACAACTCGGCTCGCTAAATGAGGCTTCCTACTCCACATGTGAAGTTTTGATTTTGAGACAACGCTACCTCTGTGAGTTTCTCTCAGTGCAGGCGTGTTCGGAAAGTGTCTATTATCATGTAGCGAGTCAAATTCTTTGAATAATTTTGTTTGCCCCTGCTAAGTTGAACACCTCGAGAACGGGCTTATGCTGCCACAGTTCGTAGAATATATAGTTCTGGTGCCATTGTTCTTGCATTTGCAAGAATATCCGTCATCCGTGGGAAACCCATCATTACAATATGAATTCAAGGTGCCTGCATCCCTCATAATGAAGATGCAAGGAATGCGGACTTGGTGGTCGGGATTATCATTTGGTGGAGCATCTGAGGTAAACAATGGTCCAGACTCCTGACGACGCTGAGTGTGCTCCGTGGGGCTACATACAGGCACACCTCAAGCAAATCATTCCTATGTAGCATATATCCATTCGACTAACAGGTTGAACAGTAGATTTTCCACTATATGCTAGATCCCAACATGTAAAGTAGTCACAATTAGGCAGGGTCTTTGCAGATTCACGAAACGTTGCAGCCCTGGCGCCAGATCCTCGTTTCCGATTGTGACGTGCTGCGCACACGCAAAGTCGCGGCACATCCGCATTCCAGTTCCGTTAGATCCATCATACCAGCGCACTGCTCCGGCTCCGTTGATTTTCGGGCACTGGTCTTCCATTCCATCAATTGCTCCTTGCAAGGACCAGGTGTATCAATTACATCGTACTGGGCGATACCAAGCTCTGAGATCCGTTCCAGGATCAGAACAAAGATGGAAACCAAGCGTGATCGAAGTGATATACATCTGGACAAGGACATTGTTAGCTTATGCAGTGATATGGAAACTGCCATGAAGAGAAAGTGTTGCAGTGGAAGATATTCGTACCGCATTTAGCCAAGATTAGAAAGGACTTTCTGTAATACTAAACTGGTCCACTACTGGTATAGGCATTTGGATCGTAAGTGGGTGAGCAGGAGAAAATCCAAGTTGTAGTAGCGACGAACAGGAGCGGCACCTGTGATCCATCATTAACAGTCTGAAGCATATATCAAGCGGATTAGCCCAGATTAGGTCACGACCCTCAAGTGATACATCCTGACAAACCATACCAGTTACAGCCCGAATCAATAAGGATCCATCTTACCATCCTGCTAAAGTCAACATCACATTACTGTAAGAGATTACCAGGCCCCATTGGAAGGAAGTAGCGGTATAGACCGCTTATAAGAAGCCACTATCGAGAACATTTGTTGAAGCGTGGGGACTAATTGCATGCGTGAATTTCCACACGTTGAACAGGTGCAAAGTCAAATCATATTGGGGGCGGCAGGAGTTGCGCAAAGCCTATTGATAGAGTTGAAGAAAATCATAAAGTTGTGTAGCTAATCAATCATTCCGGGCCTATAAGCGAGATGACAGTTCCTTACAACGAGAGTGCGCTCAGTGGAGATTGTATCATAGATTAGCGCCCGTTATATTGTTGCTTGTTGATTGCTTATGAGAAATTTCGTGCTGTCCTAAGTGAGGGTGGTGCCGGTCATTGATTCAAATTGCTAGATACTTGGAACCTGGTTCATGAACAGTTTTAACCAATAACTGAACAGCATAATTATGAGAGGCTAGACAGGTCCTCGAGTGAAGGAACGTTGGTGTAATATTAGAATGACACCTTTTTGGGGAGCCGTATTTATCGTAGCTCCAGTTAGTGAGAAAAATTATGTGATACCTCGATGGAGCAAGAAAGGATGAAATGGTGTGGTGACTGAAGCTGTGCTGAAGACATAATTTTTTTATAGCTCCACATCTGACAAGAGCGATTAATGACAGATTGGCGTGGAGCTTCAAACCAGATGTTTTACGAACGCGGTTTTCCGTGGTGTTTACCTCCAGAATGGTTATGGTTGCATCCAGATTTACTGACCGTAACTCTATAAAGCCCCGGATTTGGATTCGAATATCCTATGCCTCATATTCCAGATCAATGAACAACCTCCTTTCGTATCTTTGAGTTTCAGCATACGGTGAAGTTGTTACAATTGTAGATTTTGCCCGCAGTCCTAGCAGAGATTCATAATTCAAACCTCTCCTCGGCACTGCCGTACAATTGAAGTACATTTCGGAACTTTTGGCTGTTAGGTGTGTTTGTACGTGGAATGTATCATGGGCACCAGTCTCATGCCTGCATTGAAAGTACCTAAGGCAGCATCACGCTCCTATTTTGGAGTCAGCTAAGCTTGTACATGCTTCCCTGCTATAGACTGGCAACCTGTATGCGGAGTTACGTGACCAAAAAA